CGGGGCAGCCATCCCTGCCAGCTCTGGGCCGGCCCAAGGTGCAGGCAGGCCTGCTGGCTGATGGCCCCAGACAGCCTGGAAACGCTTCCCTGCCCCACCTGCTTCTTCTGCCTCATGATCTCCAGCTTCTGGGCCAGCTGGATCTGGCGCTGGCGCTCTGCCTCCTCCGCTGCACGGCGCAGCTTCTCCCGATGCTCCTCCCGCAGCGCATTCAGAGCCCCACGCGCATCCCGGATCTGGGCCAGTTTGTCCTGCAGCCCTTCGTAGTACACTGGAGAGGGGAAAGAGCCTCAGGACCCTCTTGGGGCAGAGCACTCGGACCCCCCTGCACGCTGCGCTGGCTTCTCTCCAGAGAGGCCGCGTCATGGGAATGCTGAACCCTGGCTCTGGGGGAAGCCCCAGCAGCCGCCCGTTCCTCCCCAGGATGCCCGCCCATGCCCCCGGCCGGGCAGCCCCCACGTACGCCTGCGCTCGTCCAGCTGGTTGAGCAGCTCCAGCAGCTGGGGGTGCATGTTGTTGATGGACTGGAAGAGGGACAGTACGGCAGAGTCATTGGTGATGCTGCGGCCCCGCATGTGGTTACTCTTCATGCGGTTGACAAACGTGGTGACCGCATTCTGCAGCGCCTTCAGGAACTGCTCGTGGTTCTCCTCAGACTCGCCGTTCTGGTACTGCTGCTGGAAGGACAGGGCAGCCAGTCAGCCTCAATGCTGCCATGCTGAGAGGCAGCAGCAAGCCTGCAGAGCCACATGACCGGGCTGCACGGACTCGGGCACCCCTCAGGAGCTGCCAGCCACAGGTCCAGGCCCCCTCCTACCTCAACAACGCCGAGCGGGGCAGGGTGGGCTTCCCCAGGCTGAGCAGCTGGCTCTGTGAGGGACAGAGGTGCTGACGGGGTGGGGCTCTTCACTTGTTTCTTCTCCCAGTAGTTGCGGTTCAGGTACCGAGCCAGCTGCCAGAGAGAGAAGGAAGATGAGCATCGCAGCCCCGCTGGGAGTGAGCCTGTGCTGTGGACAAGTAAGGCCTGGATCCTTACCTCCGGGTCAATGTCCTCAGCCAAGGGAGCAGAGGAATTCTGAAAAAGAAAAACAAGGAAATCTGGTTCAGAGAAACTAGAGACCCACATTTCCCACACAGGTGTCCTGCTTGGACCTGGCCATGCACAGCCACCAGTGCTGAGCACCAGCAAGAGACTGAGAGGGGACAGCCGTCTCCTTCAGCCAGCCATGCTGCAGCACAGGCACCTAAATGCCGGCTGAGTACAGACCTTCTTGCTGAAAACACAGTAGTGCTGTGAAAGAGCAAGAGACTGAATGGGGCAAATCTCTTCTCTCAGAACAGGGATTAAATCTGAGCCAAGCAGGGCAGATTCAGGCTAGGGAAGTGGCCCGTGTCCACCCACTTCACATTCAGGGGCTCCTATGAACGTACCACGGGTGGGGAATAGAGTGTGCTGACTGGGGGAGCCGATGACGTGACAGGTGTGGGTTCAGCCTTTGGGTACATGGAGTAGGTTGTTTTCTGCCTCTGCAAAAAAGAAAAAAAAAAAAAAAAAAAAAAGACAGGCCAAGGGATCGCTCGACAC